ATCTACAGGTCATGACTCTATAGTTTACACTCATCCACAGGCCAGGACTCTGTAGTTTACACTCATCCACAGGCCAGGACTCTACAATTTACACTCATCTACAGGTCATGACTCTATAGTTTACACTCATCCACAGGCCAGGACTCTGTAGTTTACACTCATCCACAGGCCAGGACTCTACAATTTACACTCATCTACAGGCCAGGACTCTGCAGTTTACACTCATCTACAGGCCAGAACTCCACAGTTTACACTCATCTATAGAACAGGACTCTACAGTTTACACTCATCTACAGGCCAGAACTCCACAGTTTACACTCATCTATAGAACAGGACTCTACAGTTTACACTCATCTACAGGCCAGAACTCCACAGTTTACACTCATCTACAGGCCAAGACTCAGCTCTGATATCCCAAAGATGGACTACTTCCTCTTCCTGAAGGAATACTGTTAGGACTGAAGTTAAAAGAGCAAATATAAACCTGAACCTGACCCCTGAAAGACCCAAAGACCAGGTGCCATCAGGCAGGACACGTACCTGAGTTTGATGGAGGGTAGAACTGCTTGGCGGCCATGTTGGATGCCTGTTCCACCAGAGGAGCTGGAGAGAAGAGGTGTTGGTTGTTTTCCTTCATGGATTCTCTCATCTCCCTCAGCTCTTGTTCCCGTCTCAGGTCCTCCTCGATCTCCTTCTCGATGAAACATGGAGCTCCTTGTCCTCTGGACTGCAGGCCAGTGGACTGGAGGCTCTCCCTCCAGGACAGAGGAGCTGTTTTGTGGACAGTTGGTGGTGTTAGGGAGGCTGGAGAAGAGGGAACCTGAGCTGATTGATCCTGGTGCTGGAAACATCTCGTGTCCTGGACCTCAGACTCTTTGGTGGTGAAGGAGGAGGTTTGGTAGGACCAGACTTCTTCAGGGTGTCTGTGAGGACAGCATGGAGACAGGAAAACCTCATCTGTTTCAGACTCGGACTCTACGGTCTTGTTCTCATTTTGTGGGTTGGCCTCAGTCCTTGTGTCCTCCATGTAGAGTGGGGGGTCCAGGTTGTCTTCTTCTAAGATTTGTTCTTGTTGCTGAGGTGGCTCCTTCCTCTGGCTCTCCTTTTGMGTCTCTCTGGGGAGGACGAACCCCCTTTGGTTCTTTTTGTGGACCTTGTCTGGTGTCAGAGACAGGTGTGAACGTCTGGTTTTGACCTGGACCATCTCTCCTCCAGCCCAGCTGAGCTTCAAACCTCGAGACCGCYGCAGATCCTCTTCACGTTCCTGAGTCAAACGGATCTCCCTTTCAATGGGGGTTTCCTGGTGGACTGTAGACCCGCTGGTCCAGCTGTCCTGCTGAGTGTTGTTGAACAGGTAACCCTCACTAGTGGAGCCACCAGCCATCTCCACAGAGTCCAGGTGGTCAAACCCATCGGTCTGCCTGCTCAGACCTTCAAACATCAAGTCCTTCCTCTGAGAAGCTGTCTCCTCGTCTGCTTCACTCAGAGTTGGCTCATCACTCGCTTCCACAGAGTCAGAAATATTCACCTTTCTGGACACAAACACATCAGGAATGAGGTTCAGGTGGGTTCTGGAAGACCGGACTGGGCTGAGGAGCTGTACCCGTCGCTCCTCCTCCATCTGCAGGAACTTCTGTCGGGCTGAGCTGAAGTTGATCTGCTCTTTATCAACGGTTCCAGGGTCCACAGCCTGAGCCGGTTCTGGTCTGACCCGGTCAGGACTGAAGCTCAGACTGAAACCTTCAAGCAGTCTTTCTGTGGACAGGACTGGGTCTGGGTTCTGCACCGGTTTCTGTGCTTCTGGTTGGTTCTTCTTGGGAGCTTGGCTGCGAATGATTTCCATGCGAAGTAGTTTCTCTTCGTCCTCATCCGTCACTCGGATGCCGTTACATGGGTCCACTTTGTAGTCCGAGTCCCCGTTGCTCTCTGAGAACAGACTCTCTGGCTTCCTGCAGCTGCTGTAGGTCTGTAGTTTGAATTCCTTCTCCTCTTTCAGGACGGCCAGCTGGGCCTGTCGCTGTGGTGACACCATCCAGGCTTGGTTCTGCTGGGCTTCAGGACTTGTGGCGTCCTCCACAAACGAGTAGAAGCCACAGTGAGAGCCGGAGCTGCTGCTGGGGCTGCTGGGCTGCCACTCGTCACTGCTGAGGGTCTCATCCTGGGACAGAACCACCTGCCGTGCCGTGACCAGCACGTTCGGGGACTCGTCCCTCCACTGTGAGAGCACAGCCGAGGACACAGAATCCTGGGAGCCCAGGTCGGGACTAGGACCAGCAATGGAACGCAGGTCTGAGGGCTGCAGCACGGGGGACAGAGGTTTCAGCTCCCACCTCCTCGGGGTGCTGTACATGTCTGCAGAGGGGGGAGGGGGCAGAAACAGGTGGGGCAATCTGATGGAAGACGATGATGGGCGGAGCTTTGACAAATCTGCAGAGACTAAAAAAAAAACAAGCAGCGTGGGAGCAGAGGGTTAACCATGGGAACACTATGGCCTGTAACAGTGTGAAGCAATGAAACCACCTGAACACAGTGTAAATAAACTACTTTAGGGACATTTAGGAGTGAGTTTGCAGAGCATTGTGGGAAGTGAAGTCCACACATTTCTGTCTAACTGTCTGTTTTATGGTGTGGAGGAAAGATGACTCAGTGATTACAGTTTACAGCTCACATACAGTCACCTGAGGTCATGTGACTGAAATCATCTCTTATCAAACCACAACCTTGTAGTTACAACTAGAGATGATCACTTTGACCTCATGAAAACAAATCTGATCAAATATCACCCATCATAAAACCCATGATGTGAGGCGGGTCAAAGGCTCCAATACAAGCTCATAAAACACAAGTTCAGATGAAACAACTGACAGGAAGTGAGTCGTTAAACTCTGCTGAAGTACATCTCACCTGAGGACAGGTGACCTCCCTATTCACTGAGCTACAGTTTGTATTAGCTACAGTTAGCCTCAGCTACAGTTAGCCTCAGCTACAGTTAGCCTCAGCTACAGTTAACCTCAGCTACAGTTAACCTCAGCTACAGTTAGCCTCAGCTACAGTTAGCCTCAGCTACAGTTAACCTCAGCTACAGTTAGTCTCAGCTACAGTTAGCCTCAGCTACAGTTAGCCTCAGCTACAGTTAGCCTCAGCTACAGTTAACCTCAGCTACAGTTAGTCTCAGCTACAGTTAGCCTCAGCTACAGTTAGTC